GGTCGGAGAAGGTCCGGCAAATCCCAAGCTTCCCCAAGTGATAGCCTATGGCAGGGGCTCGATTGGGGAAACCTTGTGGAAGCGCAAACAAGGAAGGTTGTATTTTCAAGGCATTCTCCGACTTTTTCCAAGCAAAATATTGCCTGGACTGGCAGGTGACGAACTTTCGCATGCTGCCTGACCTGCATGTAGTACGCCGGGTGCACCACATCGCAGCTGCTTGCTGCGTACAGGAGGTGCTGAAGAAGGGGGCGACATCTGCCACGCACAAGCTGACAGAGCAAGGCCAGCCGTGCAAGATCAGTGTCCACGAACATGTCGCAGAGGATCCTCAACAAGACAACGCTTCCGTCCGTCGAGCCACGAAGACGCAGAACTGGCGCTGAGCCAACTTCCTGCGTTCTGAACAAGAGGTGCTGGGCCTGGCAACAGCTCTGACCTGCCATCGACTTACATATTTTAGCCCATCGTGCAGCACATGATCTATGAGATCGGGCCAGCATCATCTGACAAGAACCCCATTAGAACCACCCCCTCACCATGGCGTAGGATTGTCTGGGAAACGCTGAAGAACGCGATACGTGGTAGCCGAACGGTGTGAAGGCATGCATCAAACAACGCGGAAGTTATATCAATAAATGGACCATGACCCCGTCGTTTTTGTTTGCGTATCACTGGGTTTCAAAGATAACATCAGCAAAGGTGAGACACCCTGTATGCTCCTGCTCCTTACCACTGACAACTGGTAAATGTCCTCCCATCGTCACGGTCACAGGCTCCAGAGGCGCGGATGGAAAAATTACAGCATGAAGGTGGTTTGTAGTTGTAGGTAACCACAGCGTCATGCTGACGCCATCGGATAGCTGGCAATCTGTTAAACCTGCTTACGCCATAAAGATATTCAAAGCCGTGTTCACTAAGCTGACTTAGGTATAATCTCATCGTTCAATGTCCGCTGGTAAAATGTTGACAAGTGTCATGTCAAGCATAATCGCATGAGATCATCAGCAGCCAGGGACGTAGTTTCCTATTCACTTCGGGGGGGGGGGGGGGGGGGGGAGGGGCTTCAGCCGCCCCCCGCAACTCTGGCTCCAGTCGCGGCCCCCGCAACTTTGAGACTGACAACTTGGTTTAAACTGGTCCAAGTCCCGCTGGTAAACTTGGTTAACTGGTCCAGAAACTGCATTTGCTGGCGAATTTTGTGGATGGCTTTCATCATGTGTGCTGCTCAGTCCCCTAGTTGATTTTGCGATAGTACGCTTCTGCCAGTAGCCATAGGTGAAAAAAACGCCTCTAGGAGTGAACATCTTGACCCGCTTCGAAGTATATTTTTTCAATGCATCATCATAAGTTTAACGTTCAACGATCCCAAAAAGCAGAGATGTCATGGCACCCCAGGTCCCATTGATGATGCTATGCTATCAGCATCATGTGGAGGGCTGCAACGGATAGTCCATAGCTTTACTCTTAAGTGATATGCCGGATAGTCTAAGTCAGAGGAACAAGGACTCATTCAATATATATGAATGCGTCTGTTCATAGCTTTATTGGTATCAAATGAATTGGCATCATTAATTACCCTCATTTTTAATAAGTTTCCCTGAGTTGATTATTTAATTGAAGTCAAGAGTACAGAAAGAGAGGGCGAGAAAAGGGAGAGAGAGGGGAAGAAAGGGGGAGAAAGAGATGGACGGTATTGGGCACTGGCAGGTCAATTGCAGGTGACCAGGAGGGTGAATAAAATCGAGAACCGCGGATTAACCAAAGAACGTTCGGCCGCGTAGACACATGTACTCCCGATACCCTCAGATAAGATGGAAGTAAGGTGGGGTCAGCTCGACCCCCATAATCTTTTCCGGTTTTCTGAAATACCTTTTGGACAGCGCATCGACGCGACGTCAAGCTTGGCATCAAAACCGTTCTGGAACACAAGCTGGCGCAGATATTCGCTTCCTTCCAGCGCAATCGTCGTCTGAGGTTAGATAAAACTCCAGTTTTTAACGCTCGCCTAGCACTAAAAGACAAAAGCTTCGGTACTCTGAAAGACGATCCTGAATGTTACCACACGCTCTTCAGCAAGCAGCTGAAGGACCCATCACCCAGCAGCCTTTAATGCGCCGCCCACGTCCGCAGCCTCGGCACGACCCGGCGCCGGCGCCAGACCTTGGTGCCGTCAGACGTCTGGTGGACGGTGCAGTAGTTAGCCGGGTCGACGCCGCTGCTCGCGACGCCCATAGAGCCGATGCGAGGCCGCGCTCCCGGCGAGTCGAGGCGTGCCGGCGGCGAGCCGGGCCGCGGCGGCGCGCGGCCCACCTCCAGGCCCAGGCGGCCGACGGCCGGCACGCCGCGCACATTGTCCCAGTCCAGCGCCCTGCCGCCCCAGTGACGTCACCAGGGAGCCGCAGCACGCCCGTCACCGGCACGGCGAAATCTCGGTGACGTCGTCGAAGGTCACTTTCGAGGACATTGTCGCTCATAATAATCATCTGCATATGAGTGGCAGCAATGAGTGGCACAGATGAACTTCCGATAACATACCAACTACGCAATAAGTCTGATGACATAAGATGAGAACTGTTTAATTAGCAAAAGAGAGAGAGAGAGTGAGAGAGAGAGAGAGAGAGAGAGAGGGAGAGAGAGAGAAGAGAGAGAGAGAGAGAGAGAGAGAGAGAGAGAGAGAGAGAGAGAGAGAGAGAGAGAGAGAGAGAGAGAGAGAGAGAGAGAGAGAGAGAGAGAGAGAGAGAGAGAGAGAGAGAGAGAGAGAGAGAGAGAGAGAGAGAGAGAGAGAGAGAGAGAGAGAGAGAGAGAGAGAGAGAGAGAGAGAGAGAGAGAGAGAGAGAGAGAGAGAGAGAGAGAGAGAGAGAGAGAGAGAGAGAGAGAGAGAGAGAGAGAGAGAGAGAGAGAGAGAGAGAGAGAGAGAGAGAGAGAGAGAGAGAGAGCTGTTCAGTTGATGAATATAAATCTGAGGGCATTTTTATGTTGGGCAATGTGCCGACATCTGCCTGCAGCTCCTGTCATCGATTCTCTGTGACAGACCACACGGCATGGACTCGGAGCACCCTACATAAAGCGGTACATTGTTACTGTGTAGCTACTATGTGGCGGGGCACACTACAATGCCGTGTGCAGCAACGCACGCCTGGAATTCACCTGACCGCAGCCGCCTGCTGATAAGCATCAAAGGAGTGAGCACAGCTGTGTTCACTTTCCCGTTCGCCAGTGGCGGCACGCCACGACGTAAAAAAAGACCTTGGCCAACGGTGGACACGGTGACGTATGAAAGACATAAGTTCCTTGAGAATAGCTGTTTGTATGTCCAGGAGCTGCTGTAAACACGACCCGTCGACGCTCTCACCCTGCGCACACCTCTGCTTCTTTTCTATGGTGCTAGAAGCGCCCTAGGTGTAAGTGCCTCGGGCACACAGCATTGCCCGCAGCTTGATTCACCAACGCAGACTGATGTGGTCGATCACCTCCCCCCCCCCCTTGCTGTTTCCAAGCTAAGACAGATAGAGCTTGGCGGAAAACACCAGTGGACTGGTCTCAACGAGATCTCACAATTTATAATAAGTTGGTTATTACCAATCGTGAGATCACGTAGGTTTATAATTGACCTCATTACACCAGGTCAAAGGTCAAAGTTCCTTGTAAATGAATATTTTCGGCTTCCCATGCTCACGTATCTGCGACCGTGTATCGCGACCACTGCGCGCAGTCCGCGGCATCGTCGGCAGCCGCCCTGTCCGCGCAGGCCGTAGGTCGCCGCTGCGCACAGTCCGCGGCATCGTCGGCAGCCGGCCTGCCCGCGCAGGCCGTAGGTCGCCGCTGCGCACAGTCCGCGGCACCGTCGGCAGCCGGCCTGTCCGCGCAGGCCGTAGGTCGCCGCGCAGCGTTCCATAATGACCGCCGCTGCTAGGACACAGTTTTGATGACAAACACGAGTAATAGATGCCTTTTTGGTTCCTTAAAATTTGGTCACGTTCGCGCGAAATGACGGAACATCTTCAAAAATCTCAGGGAGAGGGGCTCATCTTAACTCATTATCGGACGATGGTTAAGCATGCTTTTAGAATAATCATTTTACATGTTGTTTGTAACGATAGGAACGGTCATCACTTTTCGCACGTGCCTGTTTTGCCCGGTCGCACAGTGTGACTAAGGATCAGACGTCAGGTATCATGCGACGGCACACGAAGATTGGGCAGCCCTGGTAAGATATGCTTGGTTGCTGCGGAACAAACAGCTTTAGGTATGCTCCAAACTAAGGAAATGCAGTGAAAAACCTGTCACTGCCCAGAAGAGGTTAGTCAAGCGTTATGCATACAGCATGTTCGCCTGTGACTCAATAGCGAATATGAAATAAGGCGTCACATGGACTTGTCTTACGACATATGCATGCATGTGAATTAAATGAATTAAATGAATTAAATGAATGAATTAAATGAATTAAAATCTTGGTGAATGCCTTCTAGTCCGTTCTTGGAATGGCTGCGCATAATCTGGTGATGTAGTTATTTGGTCGGCTGTGGACAATTATTTTCGTATCAACGCACCAGCAATTCCTAATTCAAGCCCTTTAGGAATGGTCCTCAGACGGGAGATGCGCGGGAGCAGATGGAAGGGAGCCAGTTTGGCCTTCAATTTGGCCCTGCGTGAAATAAGGTGCTTGCGTTGCTAGGCAAGCATTTTTTAAAGGGAAGTTTCTTTCACTCCATGAACGCCGCGGCTCCCTACCGGAGAGCGTTGTTACAATGCCCACAGACACTTGATCGTCGAACCTGTGCACAGGCTATACACAAGGGCACTCATGCTCTGCTAACCACAACGTCGGGCCATGCGGCTCTCGTGCACCATCGGCCGGGGGCAAGAGCTGACGGTGTTGTTGGGTACGCCTCCTCCCCACCCGCTGGAGGCAGCGGCCACCGTGAGCGCCGCCGTCAGCTGACCGGCGACGCCAGCGCCTCTAGCGGCGAGCTCGGCGGCTGGCAGCGGAGGCCGAGGGTCCGGAGCGGAGGTTGTTGGAAAAAATCGTCGTGCCAAGCACCGGTACGTCGTTGGGTGCTTCAGCGGGAGGACCTGTCGAGGTGAGTGCACACTGCGCTGTGGTACAGTGCCCAGACCTCTGGACGGGGTGTGATGAGCTGCTGCTGGGCGTGGGCAGATGTACCGTGTGTGCTCTGCCCTGCGGGCCTGGGTGCGTCCGACCTGGTGCCACCACGCTCCTCTTATGCAGAGCTGCCGCACGGTTTGGCGTGCCGCGGTCCCGGCTCGTGGCACTGGTCAGAGCCCAGGCCTCTCGAGGTGTCCCGGGATCCCCTGCATCGAGGTGTCCCGGGATCTCCACATCGATGCGTCGTGGGATCCTGTGCATCGAGGCATGCCGGGATCTCCGCATCGAGATGTCCCGGGATCCCCTGTATCGAGGTGTCCCGGGATCCCTTGCATCGAGGTATTCCGAGATCCCCTGTATCACTTGAGCGGCAACGGTGCGACCGTCATGGGACGGTAGTGTTTTCGTACTATATTCTGTTTCACTTGCCGTAGTTGGTATGGCCAGCAACTTCGAGCATTCCCAATTTTCAGGAATGCGGCGGCTCTGGACTGCCTGTAAGTAGCTTCAGTACGCTATCAAAACTAAAACTAGAAAGCTCACATAGGCAGGTGAACGACAACGAGATATGCAAAAGACAACGAGCTAGGAGATTGATTTGGTACCCAGCTGCAGTTGCCTGTGCATATCGACAGATAACGCACTTATGCTGCCATTGCCACCTGCTATTGGGTCGTCTCTAACCACGGTCTCCTGTGTCTCCCCGTATTCTTGTTCGGTACTTTGCGAAGGATAACGGATGTACCTAACTTAATATACAAACTTGTACCCAATTTTGCCGGCTCTGCGCTGGCATTCTTGCAGCTGGTCTGGTGCCGGTACAGTACCGGTACCATGTTTATGAATACCCTGCGTCGTCTCTAATGCGTTCTCATCATTTGCGAGAGCTTTGTTTCCAGTTTCCCAGTTTCACCCGTACGACGTGACACAGTCGTTAGTATGTTTGATGCGCGGTGAATGCCTTTGCCATGGCCGGACGACGTAAGCCCGGCGCCGCACGCCACCCCCGGTTATGTAAGGAACTGAGCCGTCTTCCCGCACTGAAGGTCATGGCGCCAAGGGGGTGAGCAGTTCGCAGCGAATTTGTCGGTTGACGGCCCTGGAGGCCGGTGGCTGGGTGGTCTCTTCCGCTTTCCGTATGCTATCAGGAGAGGGCGTCTAAGATCAGTGGATACGCTTGGCATTACCGAGGTTTGCTTACAGCAGCATTTGTTTCAGTGAGTTATTCGTGTTACATGTGCACGAGAAAGACCTAATTCTTTCCATCTTAGCACTATTTTTACGCCGAATATAACTGCTACAGGAGAAAGCGTCAAAACGCATCTTTTATCGTAATGCAGGAGCCTAAAACAGCTTGTTTGAAACCTAAATCCAAGCCGGTCAATCATCGGTGCGGCAAGTCTTCACCAATAAATGACTTTCAATTCCCTGCGTTGTCTTCCGGTTTGCTGTGCCGCCCACGTGCACGATGGTATGCGTATGAGGAGTAGGGACCGGCATCCCGACACAGACAACAATTCTCAGGGTGCCATTATCGGCACGGCGCAGTCAGTGCGCCGTGTGCAGCAGATTGGATTGCCTGCGTGTGTCAGAAATCTTACCTCAGAGTCTCACCCGGCAGAGTTCTAAGCTTTCGCTTTGCATACCATGGTGCTGCTACCTGCCTGATAATATATGTTGCTATTTATTTACATACCATGCTGTTGCTAACTGTTTGACAAATATTTCGCACAATAATGCCAAACATAACTATTTACAGTGCTGCTACATGAGCTGCTCTGCTCAGTTTCGCCAATTACGTTCCGGATGTCGGACAAATGTCGGAGAAAGTGTGTCGGACACATTGCGGGTCTCGAAGCATGTATGCATGCTTTTCTACAAATGGGAGCCAATAGCCGGCTGCAACAACAGTTCATACCATCGACTAAGCCATAGAAAGCTTTTTACCATTTGTCGGAGGCAAGATGGCCGCTAAACGGATTATGAGCTTGTGTGAAGAGGATGACGTGGTGACGAATGAATGGTGGTTTGACGCTAAATCGGTGCAGGTTTCAGGATTGGAATAAATTTGAGGTGTGAAACCAATAGCCGTTTCTTTAATGCCCGCCCTCCACTTATCATATTATCATTATTGATAGTGGAAAACCGGCATTTGCATGATGTGGGGAGTTGGCAAACGAGAAGAAAGGAAGACAAAAAAGAAATGGATTCAGGTGCTTTGCGTGCTGCCTGGTTTCCCTGGAACGCAACATATTTCAGGGCATGCCCGGTATTTGACCCGTTCTGGGATGACCTGCAGCAGTTTCGGCGTCCATTTAAAATGTTCGTTGACGTCAGATGGCAGGACAGACGTGCCATGCATTTCGGCTCGCTAAAGGGAGTGTTCCACACTTGAAGATGCTTAGGTAAAGACCAGATACAGTGGAAGAAGCTCACTTGTACCTATTGGCCCGCCTTAAGTGCAAAAGACTGCCTAGACAACATTTCACCACATGGTAAATGCACTCCTCAATACTTCATCGTTCTGATGACGCAATGATAAGTTTTTATGACGTCAGAGTCGCTTCCATTCTGAACGTGTTAGAATTGCCGATACAGTTGGCGTGCTGGCTGTCTTGTGGGACTTCAACTCGCCACAATGTGGCTTGTTTATTTATGCGTGCGGGATGAGCCGTGCCATCATTACGTACGCGTGCTCGAGTCTTCTGGCAGTGTTTTTATATATTTTCTGTAAATACAGTTTTCTTACCTGCATTTGCATTTTTGATTACAGGATTATTCTAGAAATCCTACGTTATTCCATTTCCAGCTTAGCGTGGGGGGGAGGGGGAGCACACTGATTCCAGGAGTTCATCCATACAAAAGATTCCGACCAAATCTTTAAAAAATGTCATGATATCTCCCATCATATACAGACATGTTATTTCCTCTCCAAGGAAGCGCTGGCTGAGAAGACGTAAAAGTGAAAAAATTTATTGTCAGTGCCGCACAACGGGCACGCTCCAGATGTCCGTATCTGTGCGCGTGACCACGCGGAATTTATGGGAAAGCACTCCGCAGGCAGAGGGTCGGCTGGCGAGGGTGTGCTTATCGACCACGCCGCTGTGGAATACGCTATCTTCCCGTTGTGAAATGAGAACTAGGCGACAATATCCCCACCGCCCTCCCCCTCATTATTGCATTCTGGGTAACGATGCTGTGACGTAATCATGGGACTGAGCCAAATGGCACCAACGCTATGGCGGCGTGAAAACGCTCTTCTTTGCGGGCTGGTTTAAACATAACTATTTCCATAAGCCGAGATTGTTTCGACCTAGCACATTCAATGAAGCATTTTCAGCTGGCGTTGAATGACGTTGGTTTGCATCAGACCCATTAAATTATTGCCAAAATGCGCTTCCAGCTGGCCCCCGACAGACAAATGGGGTTACCCATTCACCAGTGATTTATCCCGAAGAACTCTAGCCGAAAGTGCTTAGAAACAGTCTGTGTAAAAGAGTACAACATGCAACAACAACGCAGGATGGAAATGAGATGCGATGGGCCAGACGAGGTCGCAGCACCGTGGAACGCGCATTGAGAAGTTGGAATGCACATTCTGTAGTTTTAGGGGAAGCGTTGTCAAGGTGGATAAAGGGTTGGTCTGTCTTTATGGGGCAGTGAGTGGTGAACCCCGGAGGCTTAAATACGGTGCGTGCCATTTCAGTTGAAGATAGCACAATTTTTCTGTTAAATGGGCCGACTTCCGGCAAGTTCTGCAATTCTTGCCAGTCAAAGAGCCGAGGCCCATACTCACCTCCAAAACAGTCTAATAGGGATATTTTAAGGTGGTGGGGATATTATTCTCCGCGCACCATCTTTATCTAGCCCATCCAACATTATAGATCTGCATATTAACCAATACCTGGGGAGTAGCAGCCTTACTCTTGGAAGAAAAACCGGGAGAATGAAGAAATAGATAATAACCAATCTTTTTCTCCATTCTCCTGGTGTTTTTTTGATAACTAAGGCTATTACTTTTATCTTATCTATGTGAATAATGTTCTTTGTGAATGCACTGAACAACTTTCGCAATATATGCGCAATGATTGTCCATTGATTAATTTAATGTCAACATCACATATGATGTTTATTTATTTCATATCCATATTCATTTTACAAAAACGCATTGCGTGAAAATTTTCGGGCGCATTGGCCGCGACGAATATGGCACGGGTGCTGGAACCAGAAAATGTGGTCTAGTAGAATTTATCTTTGGAATCAGATTCTGGCATTGGTGCCTTCAGAAGGATTGAAGTGCAAAATTACGACATCTATCCACGTAACATTACCATATAAATGTAGAACAGGGTTGCAATTCGATAGCGAAATGTCAGATTTTAATCACGTGACTAGTATCTACCAACCTTTTCGAAGTATTAACCAAAAAACCGTACTGTGGGCTGCCAAACTTTGGTCCCATGGTGAAGTCACGTCTGCGTAGCCTTCTCCAGTAGCCTGGTACCCTCACGTTATCCGCCGCGAACAAACAGTTATGGTCTGGTATTTGTTTTAACACGCGCCCGGGTGGCCGACTAGATACCCTTCGCTCGGGTGGGGAGGGGTCAAATTGATCCCCCCGAAGGTTTTTCCAGAATGGCTTCCGAATGGCGCGGCGTAGCCGCGCCAAGTTTTGCATAGCTGTAGACAGTTGAATAGCGGATCGTTTGGCTTAAAAAATAGATTTACCTTGTAAAGTCGCTGACCTTTGGCAGGTCAAAGTCAGGCCACGGTTTCAGAGAAGGCAATTCCTAGGAAATCCTTCAATCTGATTCAACAACGGAGTGTTCGACGAAGCCATACAGCTCTGAGATGCTTTCTTAGGCAACACAACAGTTCACTTAGCAAATTATATTGACCTAGGGTCAGGTATAAAGGTCACACCAAGGTCAAAACTAACCTGTTGTGTTACTTTAGGGCTTGCTGTATGGGATAGTTTCTGATGTTTATTTCGAGTTTGTTGATTGCCGGAACCGCATTATACGTTCTCCATGGACTTCTTAAGGTCAGAGTAGGTCATTGACCCGAAATGACCCGTATTAACATTTTGTTTTAGGAACATACTGCCTGACGTAATCTTTGTCAATTAGTCAAATGCAAAACTCAAAGCAATGTTGTATGATTTTGGTCACCTTGACCTTCAAAAGGTCAAACAAGGTCATCGACCTTGAATGAGAATGTGACCTTCTGCTTAGAAACGGTTGTCTAGGTTCTAGGGGCACTTTGGAGACCAACCCGGAAATTGACCTTGTTTTACCTTTTGTGACCCGAAGGTCATGACCTAGGAACCTGAAACTTTGACCTAAGTGATTTCACGTACAGGTTAATGCACCCTGTAAATTTGGTGTCTCTAGCTTTCTTAGTTCCCGAGATCTTTTAGGGGGGGAGGCAAATTGACCGTCCTTCCCACCCGAGCGATGGGTATCTTGCCGGCTACCCGGGTGCGTGTTTGCTCACTCGACAAGCATTGTTAACATTGCATGGAGCCAGTTTTCACGGACTGGAAAAACCTGACGAGTCGAATTACTACACTTAATCCGGACGCTGACAGAAGTGATGCATTGATTGCTAAAATTTGCGGCAGCCCTTTGATATTCCTTAAGCAAGCTGTCGCAAACTTCTTGCATTAGACGGGTCGCGTTGGGCTGAAAGTGCAAACGTTTCCTAGCTACTTCTTTTGTGAGGGCTCTACCTAGATAGTGCCGCTCCAGTTAAGGAAATCATTCACCACCTCCTATCTTTTTGTCTGACAGAATTGCGGACTGAGCGGGTGTCATCAGAGTCATCGGTGTCATCAGTGCCATGCGGTGTCATGCCGCCGCCGCTCCGCTCACCGCGGACCCACTCTAGCTGATTTCCGGCCGACCGTGGTCTGCATGGCCGGGGAAAACAGCGCGATCCACCGGGCGTTGGCTGTGCCACACGACCTTGCAAACTTGCGAAGTCAGCGCCACCGGCGAATTGCACGGGGTGATCCACCGGGCAAGGTCGTGTGGCTGTGCCACACGACCTTGCAAACTTGCGAAGTCAGCATCACCGGCGAATTGCATGGGGTGATTCACCGGGCGTTGGCTGTGCCACGTGACATTGCAAACTTGCGAAGTCAGCGCCACCGGCGAATTGCACGGAGTGCGCTAGCTTGCTGAGGCGGGTGGTAAAACTCATATCGGTACATTATTTCACTGACTTGCAATGCACGGTAGACACAAGCAAAGCAGGGCATTATGGAACTGCGTATTGACCCGCGCACTGGCAGCCGTACGTGCCAGTTTCGCAGTGACATGGGGGATGTACCTATCCTCTGGTATCTTCTGATTGGAAAGGGCTGAAGAGGTGAACTGCGAACCCTATTCGATTGCTCGCTTGAAGCTTTACCTAGCTTATCCGTTCATTTTGGCGTTCGAGGTGAGGGTAAGGTCAAGTCAAGTCAAATGGCATGTTTTCCTGTTTGGTAGGGTTTTTTCCAATTAACTTCTCTTAACTCATTTCTGCGTGGATTTGTTCGTATAACGTGCTGAAGGACTGTAAAGTCGCGGTGCTTGTTGTTTCCTTTCAACGCCAGCAGTCTCTGCCAACCAGAGATGTTTCTTCGTTGTTGACAGCAGCCGTGGAAGGTATCAGAACCCACTTCAACAAAATATTAATTTCAGTTCCGATAAGGTAGGCGACGTTTCTTGACATTTCTGAGCATCTAGTGCCTTGCTTGGGTGAAAATGTCATGGCAATCGTAGTAATATATCAGGGTTAAAGTTATCCAAAAAGGAAATGGGAAAATGATATCAGATGACAAGGTCATGGCGGGTCAATGAGTACAAGATCTCGATATAGCATGGGTGGCTTATCGTTACCTCCTACGGGTGTGAAAGTGAAGGGTGAAAAACAGTAAATAGGACCGGTAAACGCCGGCAGTGATACGCAATGCTTCAAAGCGCAAATCTCCAGATCAAGTAAGGTTAATGAGCTGTGATGCGCTTTGGGGTCAGAGTTGCTCGCTCGGTGTCGGTGCTTGAAAGAGAGGGAGTCCCTTACATAGTTTGAGGGGTACTGTGTGTCGTGAATGCCGCTATATAATAGATGCCTCTCGGCGACTAAACGCAAAGTTTTGCATTTACTTTCAATATTAACGTAATCAACAAAAATATACATTGACACAGCGATGTTTCTGGCAAGCAAAAAGAGGCGCAGAGGGGTACAGCGTGCAACCAGGGCTAGTACTACGGTGTCATGAATAAATGATGAAATAAAATGCACGTATGAGGCGGGAGGAGGGCAACGCATAATATTTACACAGAGGCGTCTCCATGAATGAGAGCAAGAAGACTCATTATATTTGAAACCTGAAGCACTTAAACGGCATGCAACATGCAATTTTTCACTTGTTAGCAGCGATCATCATATCATGGAATTACTCCATGTGAGAGGTGAGTTCGGGAACGACAAAAAAGGAGGAACGGTTGTGCAGCGCCCGGATGCCGGGGCCGTTAACAATGGCCGTCAGCAACAGCGGCCGCTTCCAGGGGCCGTGCTCATATCATGTGGCCCTTCTCCCATTCCCCTTGAAAACCTGCTGCGCCTATGACACATGTCTGCTCACACCCGATGAGTACTGCAATCCATTTAGAGCAGTTTTGAGCATTGTTTTTACTATTCACGTGGTCTTCTCTGTTATAATTAATTTTTTACAATATCCCTATCAGTTCTGAACTTTGAAATATCGCAATGGCTTAGCAATATTTCAGTCGTAGCCTATCGATCTCCTTTAGCCGCGTTGAAATCCGTTGATAGCCGTGCTATCTGTCGGAGACAAAATGCCATGACAGTTTCTTATCTTTGGTGGTCTGCTGCTCTCTATCATAACTGCTTGAAGCTTTATTTTTTTAGGGATGTAGACCTTGTCGAGAGGAATCAAACATAGCCTCGTTTTTGCTAATCGGCCAAGTGTAGTTGGCGAGATGTGAAGTAGGGTTGGGCGAAACACCTTAGCAGCTTGTGTCCTAAATCAGAGGGTTAAGAAAGCCGATTGACATAGTTCAGGCAACGGTTTTTTTCCTGAGGTGAATGTCATGGTAAAATATCTGAATGAAACTAGATTCAACGGTACCAACGGAACCTCAATAAAAAACGATTGTGTTAACATGGATTTGGTGTAAGTCGGAGCATTCGGCAGCTAAATACTTAACAGAGCGTGCGAACGCAAGCAGTAAACCAGCAAACTCTGAAGTTCACTGTTCAGATCAGTCAGCTGTTTCTTGTTAAATTGTTCTTGCATAGCGATCAAAAGTTGGACGACGAGATGTACCCGTCAGTAACTCACTAGTCAAGAGCTTGAGCGTGCAGGCTTGTAAACGTGCACAGCTACCATTAAGAATGCCTTTATCAGCGTTTTCATGTTTTGCTTCACGTAATTTGATTGCGTCCTAAAGCTACAAGTATTACCCAACTACGATAATTGATGCCACCAGTTCATCTTTGCGCAGTCGGTGAAACGTCCGTAAGTTAGCGTCCTATCATGAAAAATTGCCTTTAAAATGCTTGGTTATGGTAGATCTTTGAATTAACTTTAAAACTATATCAACCTGAAACCCATAGCACGGACATACCCCTAGAAACATGTTTTATGCTAAGTCCAGTGTTGTAAAATGTATTCTGTATAAACTGAAGGCAAAACTACACGACCATGCCGTACACATCTGAAAAAGTCAGAGGAGAAGCAAGTGCTAGCACTCAATAAGCGCAGATGAGCACCGCTAGCAGTCAACGTGCACAGGTGAGCACCGCTGGCAGTTACCGCGCACAGGTGACCACCGCTAGCAGTCACTGTACACAGGTGATCACCGCTAGCAGTCACTGTGTACAAGTGAGCACCGCTGGCACTGTACACAGGTGATCACCGCTAGCGGTCACTGTGCACAGGTGAGCACCGCTGGCAGTTACTGCGCACAGGTGAGCACCGCTGGCAGTTACCGTGCACAGGTGACCACCGTTAGCAGTCACTCTGCACAGGTGCTCACCGCCAGCACGCCGTGGCTGCGCCACAACGGCGGCTCTGCGACGCAGCTGCGCCACAACGGCGGCTCTGCGCCGCAGCTGCTGCCGCCGTTGTTCCAGCTGTTGTTGCCCGTTTCAGAGCGATGGTTCGGCGGGATGACGACGGGCCGGGGATCCGGCTGCTGGCGCCGACCAGCGGGCGCGGGTCGCCCCGCGAGTACGGCGCGACGCAGGTACGCCAGGCGGCGGGGCAGCCTCGCGCCAGGCTGGCCGGTGGAGATCACCACCATTCATTGCCGCCCTTCCGGAGTCATCCATTCATTCATCCACTCCGTTCAGTCATGCAACGCATTGTACGCTTAAATCGGCCCTATCCATTCATGCAAGCCCTTGGATTGATCAAATTGGGATCATCAACGGAATTAAGCACTCCATGCATTGCATTCATTAACTCCCCAATCTAATGCAACAACTTCTAACGCATAAATATTTGGCTTAAAAACGTTTGCGCAACGTTTCTTGTGATGCAAGAAAATGTAGCACGTAAACCCTTACTGACAGAGCTCTCAATGCTAACAGTTTTAAGCGGGATTACCTTGGATAACCTTCTCCATGATAACACTTGCAGCACAATGATTTCACGGGGTGAAGTTAACATGCAAAACTTTCAACTCCAAATTGCTCCCAACGGAAATAAGTAGGGTGCATGAACTTGTAGGCGACTACAGTTGTGATGCAAAAACTTCAGAATGACGCTCAGCACGATCGTGGTCTTGTTCACAGCGCGTTCGTCTAGAGCCCAAGAGTCCCGGAACCCCAATCCCAACCATTTCAACTGTCGACTTCCACATGGCTAAAAAGATCCCGACAAATGATCTACCATAAGTGGTCAGCACGGCTACTACAATGCCTTGTCACTTTTCCCAATTCCTACCGATTTGCCAGTTTGCATGTACGCATGCTCGTTATGTTACTTTGATGTCGAGGTACGCGATTATGCGTTATTGCATCGATGCGAAAAGGTGGAATAACTATGCACATTTTGAACAGGTTTGCACAGTGACACGTGTCATGAGTCAGAATAAATTTGAACAAAAATTGCATTGGAAATTTATCAAATCGTGAGCGGATTTCATGTCCTTTTGTCAGGAGCTCGCATTATTTGTAGGCGACTTAGATTTAAACCGGTTATTTACTTTACTTTCGTGGCGTCACAGGGATGAGTTTACACGTCGCCTATATAGCCTTCCATGAGGTCTTCTTGATGCGTGCCTGAATCTGTATTTTCATATCATTGTCTAATCACGGCCGAGGAAAGAAGAAACATCAATTATCTCCAAAGCTTCCGTTCAATAAACACAAGCTGGCTGATGTAATATCTTTTTACATGTGCCATGTCCCAGCTCAATAATCTTTATAATTAAAACCAGTGAACATCTGCTAGGCATCTGGTAAACATACTGTGCAGACTGAGCATGTATCACTCAGCGCAAAAAGCAAAGGGCAAATACAATTCATCATTTTCACACGCAAACGTAAACGAAAGCGCACGAGAAAATGCATGAACAGATTCACTTTTTATTCAGACGCTCAATAAAAACTGAGCTTAAACCGAAATGCGTTTACTCAGTGCCCTCGCCAGAATTAGTTCTATCCGTCTAGCTGTGAAAACGGAGCAAAAACTGACTTGCTCGTGTTCCGCGCCCGAGCAAAAAGCCGAGGAAGAAGTTTAACCATTTGATTACGTCATCTGATAGCGTATGCGACATATTTCGTCGAGGCGTTATACGCTTTTTGTCGCCGAGCAGAATGAACGGCGCACAGGTTATATTTATGCTTGGCTTGCGTAGTTAAGGTACGTATTTATTTGCAAACATTCATGCGCGTTATTCTCACTGTGTATCTAAAATTATTTTATAGTTTCAGGTGCCGACTCGCGAATATCAAAGCCTCTGCAAATATTGTCTCGCCCAATAAATGCACAAAGAAACGGACAAAATTACATGTCTCTAATGCGGTATCCAATTGCTTTCGGATCACGAGTGCCAGTCAGACCAGTCGGTCAAGAAATGTTTTGATGTTACATGCTAAATCGACAGCTGATCGGCGAGCCCGCAGGCAGCCCGCAGTGTTAGGGGCCCAAAACCGATCCGTTGCGAACGAATGCACACGAACTTGATAGCTGGGATGCCTCCCGATGTAGCAGCTCATGCGCTGGTGCCATACGCCACCTATGCCACACGACCGGGTTTCTGTTGAGCTTGAAAGCAATCCATTGCGTTCTCTCGCAGATCTCGCACAGGTATCGCGAATATGGAAATACACAAGCATGTATAATGTTTGCGCACGTGTGTCGTGCAGGTACAAACAAATGATGAATTAATGTCCGTACAGAGCACATAAGACCCGATTTCCGGGACGTCGATCGATTGTCATTTTCGAATTCCAGGATCTCGAAATGGGCAACACCTCACAAGGTTTACGTTCTTATTTATGCGAAGTGTTGCATGGAAGGACGTGCGATCTCTACAACGTCAATACTGCACTGTCTAAGGCCATTCTGTCACCAGCAGAGTCTGATCGAGAGTGGTGTGACCCGCGACCTCACCACATACGGCTCTGTGAAGCCGCTGCCGACCGAGCCCTCCAACGGCGTGACCTTGACCTGGCACGACGTCAGCGTCTTCGTTCCCAGCAAGAAGAGCAAGACACTGTTCAGCGGATGTCGCGGCAATGCCAAGCCGTTCCGGCGGGTTCTCAACAACGGTGAGACCGGCGTGTTCTCAATAATGGCGAGGCTGGCGGCCCATTGATAACGGTAAGACTGGCAGGTGCTCAATGGTCGTGCGACGGGCGGGTTCTCAATTACGGTGCGACTGGCTGGTTCTCAATAACAGTGCGACTGGCGAGTTCTCAGTGACACTGCGACTGTCGGGTTCTCAGTAATGTAGCGACTGGCGGGTTCCCAATAGCAATGCGACTGGCCAGTTCGCCGGCGGTTCCGAGTCGCTGTCCGCAGTAGCGCCACGCGACCGATCAGTGTCTACGGTGTGCGAAACTTCCGCTAAAAGGGCGAATGTCGGCGTGGTTTTAGCATTTCCTGTACTGATCACAGCTGCCAGACAACATGCGACGCATTCTGGTACGAAGTGCAGGCGGTAACTACCAACTATCGGAAGTTTTTTTCTCGCATAACTGTGATAGACAAATGTACAAAGACGGTAAATCACATCCAATGGCTCGGTGACAGGGTCGAACGCGTCAGCAGCCTCTTCAGACGTGTTATACAATCGCCCACAGGATTTCTGCCGCTCCATTCCGTGCACCGTATCTGCGTCCCACCGTCTGCGACCGCGTGTGAACCGTGACAGGGCACCAGTGGTGCCAGCGCCTGCCCCGCTGCGACCGCAGGCGTGCCAGTCGGCCCCACTAACCCGCAGCGCTCCCGCTCCACTAACCCCGTCTCCCCCTTTGCAGTGTATGGCGCCGTGCTCGCCGGCAACCTCGTGGCCGTCATGGGCTCCAGGTGAGGCCGACAGCCCGAGCTGCCGGACCGCGGCCGGGCCGGCGGCGGCCTGCGGTCAGTGGCCGCGGGCTTCCCCTGGTCGGAACGGATCGGATGGCGGGCGCGGCTGACACCCGATCACCCGCAGCGCCGCCAGGCCATGGGGACCGGGCGCGGCGCCGGCCGCACGGCAACAGTCGGGTGCAAACCGAGTCGGCGTCCCACTGAGCACGGAATGGTAGTTTTTTGGGTAGGAACCTGGCTTCAAGGGTGGGAACGTCGTGCTCTGTGACAATCATTCAAGAGCAACACCTTACTGAAGCACGTGCTCGGTTTGTGGAGGGCGTGCTTGACTGGTCGCGCCTGCCTGCTGACAGCAGCTGCACCTGGCCGATAGCTGAAGAAATCGTCCTCATCCCGGCCAAGGAGCTGTGAGCTTTGATTTAGCCGTAAATAATCGCCACGCACGTGGACACGCCTTAAAAAGTCGTGGGATATGGTGCGCGGTAGGTGTCCACGTAAAAAACTAGATCGAAGTGGCCTGTATGCGCGATAACACAGTACAAACGAAAACCTCACGTTACGTGGCACTCGACGGAGCGGTTTCCCGACGTTTGAGAAGCCGCTCGAGAAGACAAGATCAGCAGCACTTAAAAACTCAGCAATATCCCGGACACAATGTGGGTGTCATGGACTCGGGTTTCTTGAAAGCAGCGCCGGTGTCGAATCTTATGCTAAGAATGTGCATGATGCCAAGCGAAGCAATCGAACGCAGTAGGCAAACGGTTATGGCCGTAAGCACTCCGTTTGTGAACCACTCCGACCGTCCGAGACCTTGCCTTCAACACTTTAACTCATCGCCAAGCCACTGTTCAGGCTGACAACGATTGGACACGTGTTATTTTCCCACGGAACAACGTATGAGCTGTGAAAGCATCTTTTCAGATTTAGTCGGAAGTCTTTAATCAGTGCTTGCTGCGTGTGCCCCGAGCACATAATCCGACCATGAAACGCCTGCTCAACGGCACAAATATGCAGCGTAAGCTTAACACGTGCCACCTTGCTTGGCATAACCTGTACCGGCCGTTGACGTCGCGGGTCTTTAGCGCGGTCGCTGCCACCGACTGCGAGTCATTTTGGTCAGCGGCAAAAAGCGGGTGCCTAAAGCGATTCGAGCACGCCTCGCCACGGCTGGATGAATGAAAACGAAGGCCCGCTAACCGTCTAATCTATTGGGAAAGACCTCAGTTGTTTTGGGCTAAAGAACGTGCACGAATAAGCTTTACATGGTGACGCAAACGACATTCAACATGCCTTATCCTTACCCTTATCCTTATCCTTATCCTTATCCGATAGTTAGCCAACAGACGTGTTTTTCACAACCTCCAGGCCCCTCGCACGAGATTCTGATGTAATTTGATCCTCACGCTCCCCGAGCATGTTCATCATTACTTTTGTTTCCGTGCTGCCATGTGAAGTGCAGCCATGTGAACTGCGTGTCATCTGAAGAGGCGTTCCAACATTCAGTTCAGATGAGCCCGATTGGGGTGCCTCATTCAGTCGGACGAGCCCGATTGGGGTGCCTCGTTCAGTCGGACGAGCCCGATTGGGGTGCCTCGTTCAGTCGGATGAGCCCGATTGGGGTGCCTCGTTCAGTCGGATGAGCCCGATTAGGGGTGCCTCGTTCAGTCGGACGAGCCCGATTGGGGTGCCTCGTTCAGTCGGACGAGCCCGATTGGGGTGCCTCGTTCAGTCGGACGAGCCCGATTGGGGTAGCCGCGAGAGAGTTCTTTGCTTGGCTCGAGAGTAAGACGAGAAGAAGTGAACTCAGACTTCCGAAGCTTGCAGCACGTGTTTGCGCCTGTTTTTTCATGCTGAGCGTAACTTTAAGTGAAAATCTCACCAGGTCAGTGTCCAGCGCTATGTCAAGGTGGAGCACACTGAAAAAAACATATAATGACCAATATCTTCTGTGATTTCAACTGATCGGTACACATCAACACTTTTGACAAAGTGCTCCTGTCCACGAAATTAAAGCTACGTCAGGGTCACTCATCTCAAGTCGATTCATGTTTCGCACTGTTTGTTCTTGGCTTAAAATTGCATGTGATGATAAAAGACATGACTTGCACCATACGCATGCACATTTAATACGGCAGAACGGCAGGAACTAAGCGCTATGAAAATTCATGCCGCAATTGAAATGCTGTTTGATGTTGTTTTGAACAGTTTTTTTCCGAGAGGTGCGGTATTTTTCGTCCTTATGCATTTCTCGAGCTTTGGTCGCAGTATCATGTGCCGTTCCGTGCGACGACATGATCTTACTTGATAAGGCCTTACTTGGTCCGGCCTGGCGCCTCTAGGCATCGTTTCAAATATATTTACGATTATTGATAATGTTCACAGTTATCAAAGTGCTTGCAAATTGATGTATGAATAGCATTAATGATAAACTAATTTTCAGTGTGAATAATTGGTTAGTAAATGTTCATAACCTTATTCAATTCATTCATAGATCTAACGATTCACATGATCGCCCACTGTGACCTGAAAACGGGTATCAAAGGTTGACTGGCTTGTTTTTGTTCATGCTTTTTTCTGGTGACATTGTCGTGTTTGAAGAACTTTCCTCCAGCCCGCCTCTCAGGTGGTTGGGCTATTTCAGTCTGATCTGACATGAGCCTGTGCCACTTTACCTCTCCACCGATTTCATTTGGTCCGAAATTAAAAAGCGGCGAGAGAAGCCAAGGTAGTTGACCTGCCCTTAAAGGACAAACACAAATATATATATATATATATATATATATATATATATATATATTTATATATATATATAACATATATATATAACATATATATATATATATATATATATATATATACCATGCAGTGACGTGTGGAGACTTCTATGCAATGAATGCATTGGTCAGCATTCGCCATTGTTTGGGGATGAATTAGGGACAACGTTTCGAACGATAGCAGCGTTCATTGACCTAAAATAGGCCTAGCCTCATCTCAGTGTTATTCGGTTCCCTTACAGACGCTACAGTAAGAAAAAAAAAACATTGCAATTTTGAGGCATCGCTGGCACGCTTTGTCACTCTTGACGAGTGCCCTCCGGAAAGCCGAGGTTTACCAGTGCGGAAATGCTGAGCGCTTTTTGAACCTCTTGTGACGTATGCATTAACACGCGCTCGGGTGGGGTCAAATTGACCCCCCTCCCCAAGGCTTTTTCAGAATGGATTCCGAACGGCGCGGCGTAGCCACGCCAAATTTTGCACAGCTGTAGAGAATTGGATAGTGAATCATTTGGTGTCAAAAATTTAGATGTGCCTATTAAGGCCGCTGACCTATGGCAGGTCAAAATCAGGCCAAGGTTTCAGCGAAGCCAATTTCTAGAGAACCGTCCAATCTGGTGCAACAACGGAGTGTTAGACAAAGCTACACATCTCTGAGATGCTTTCTTTGGCAACACAACAATGCAGTGAGCAAATTACATTGGCCTAAGGTCAGGTATAAAGGTCATACCAAAGTCAAAACGAACCTGTCTTTTTCCCGTAGGGCTTGCTGTATGAGATAATTTTTGGTGCTCATCTTGAATTTATTGGCAGCAGGAACCACACTCTACATCTTCCATGGACTTCTTAGAGGTCTGAATAGGTCATTGACCTAAAATCAACCAGGCCAACATTTTGTTTTTAGGAACTTACTGCCAGACGTAATCTTTGTCTTTTGTTGAAATGCAACACTCAGAACAGCTTGTATGATTTCGGTCACCATGAACTTTGAAAGGTCAAACAATGTCGCTGACCTCAAATGAGCGTGTCACCTTTTGCTTGGAAACAGTTATCTAAGTTCTGGGACGCTTTGGAGAACTAACCTGGAATTTGGCCTTGTTTGATCTTATTTGACCCGAAGGTTATTACCTAGAAACTTTAAACCTTGACCTAAGTGAGGTCACGAATAGTTTAACACACCCTGTGAATTTCGTGTCTATAGCTTTCTTAGTTCCCGAGATCTCAGGGGGTCAAATTGACCCCGCACCCGAGCGAAGGGTACCCAGCCGGCCATCCGGACGCGTGTTAACTGTCTAACAAAGGGTGAGTGGGCTGTGCGTAACGGAGCTGTTGCTATAATAACTTTATGTTACGTATGGCATCATAGTTATGGGTAGAGCGCTTCATGGGGTGAGTCCCTGGGTAAGCATATATAATGGGCAATGGGGTTGGGTCTGGTACAGATGATTTTGGGAAAATTGCAGATACAAGCACAGGTATGTGCAAGCCGTTAACAAAATGTCTCTTAGTTACTTTAAGAAACACTACATGATTCTTAATTATGCTGTGCTGCTGCTACATATACCTTTTCAGTCATGTTTAACTCCATTTACACCCCATGTATGATGCAATTGTCAACGTAAAACAATACGTTTGAGTGTAGACGTTCCGAAACTCTTCTATAATTTGGAAGCAAAGTTTGGGAAAATGCCAATTGGCGGATAGCGGGTTGGTGCAGCCACCTACGAATGGGTACCGGGTGAGTATGTGCACAGCCACCAACGAGTGGGTACCAGGTGGGTATGTGCACAGCCACCTAAGAATGGGTACCGGGTGGGTATGTGCACAGCCCCATGGAAAGCGGGTGCGTTGGGTGAAGCAAACCATCCCCGTGAGGGCCTCAAGCGATCCTGTGCTCCTGAGAGGGTGCAGGGGACGGACTCTGTACTGTCGACAGAGCGCAAAGGTTTTCACCGGCTACCAACCCCCCTAAGCCGGGTCGGACTCCGGTCTGGGGCTGGCTGTCCTGAAACTGGACTTGAACCTGATAAGCCCAGATGTTTTGTGTTAACACACAGCACATATCTGTAAATCTCGCCTTATTCGGCAAGTGAAAAAACAGCTTCCTAAGCACATGATGTAAAAGTGGAACCGGATTCGATACATCGTGGCAGAAGCAAGCTGCAATGCTGACTCTACTGCAGTGTAGAGAACAGAAATGTGAGATTCATATTTAACATCCAGTGCAATATTCCGAATCGTGGCTTACTTCGTTATACCTAAGTTTGCAACATAATGCATGAAAACTGTGGATCAGAGAAATGGTTTGCTGTTGAGAGAAAGCTGTCCTAGGCTCCATCGACTGCTTAGAGTGCGTCATGATTACCAGATTTATTGTCTTGATACTCTTGTATGCTTGCTTATCAGCCAAATAGCAAAATCGCACACGCACACGCACACGCACACGCACACGCACACGCACTTGTTAGTACTTACGCACTTAAAAGTCTTGTGTCTAATGTGTTGCGTCTAAAACCATTCTTGTACTCATGCAAGAAATACAAGAGCACAGGTCGCGGTCGTGCGCATAGTTACGAATATCATGTTAGAACACCTAGTTCCCAAGCATCACTCCCATCAATATCGCACGCCTCTGACCCTGCCGCCTGACCCTTGTCGTGATCAGCCGTCTGGTGCCACAGTGGCAGCGGCAAGTCCACGCTGATGACGACCCTGGCGCAGCGGAACCCCGGCGAGGTGATGGTGGACGCCGACATCCAGTACAACGGCCGGCCGCTGACGCGCGACATGCAGCGCATGGCCGGCTTCGTCTACCAGGACGACCTGTTCGTGGGCTCGCTGACCGTCAGGGAGCACCTCGAGTTCGCGGTACGCATGGCGCTGGCCCGCTGCCAGCGCGTGGCCATGCTGTGCCGTTGGGTATGCGACCCAGGCCTGCTGTGTTCGGGATCCGTCGCGCGCGTTTTGGGGCATTTCGCGGATTTTCAGTGCGGTACCATAGCGTTTTCGTATTCACTAGCGGTTGTGGTTCCACGTGATGGCACATGCAACGCGATCGTGGTTCCCCGTAATCAGCTTGAAACGCCGTTTGGTTTCGTTCCATTGACCATTTCGATACCATCTTTAACAGTGTTAAATCTTGCAGCGTTCTCCTTGCATGGTTTCACATGTTCTTTTCATCTGCCCGGTGTGCACAACTAGTATGGTCATTAACGTTACGCTTTTACAATTTCCCACACCGGTTTTAACTGGGGCAACAGATAGGCAGCAGGTCGTAACTATCGAACCCACGATATCGTGATCAGCTCAAGCACGCAACGCCAGAGTCATTACATTCACCTATTAACAAACACGGGAAAGCATGTGTGCCCTAGGTCAATGTCTCGGGATGTTGTGGTAGGTTTTATACATCCCATTTCCTTTTGGTGCGTATTGCACCAACGCGTTTGATTTCCTGATGCGTGCTGATACCATGCTTGCCTGGCATGGCTTGGCATGCATGCTACCGGCGTGCTTGGCAACGCCGTTTAAATTCGGCCCACGCGCTTCCGCGTCCATTCATTGAACGCTTTTTCTAGTTCGAAGAATCGCTGGGAACGTGGTCCAGTAAAAAGTAGTGAAATTGATGGTGTTGCTTGCTGACCCTGCTTAAAATACTGCGACCTCTCCTCCCGCCTAGTCTATGTGGTGGCAACGCAGTCGTGCCGTCTCCCGCCGAGTGGTGATTTAAGACATGTTTGTGCAGGCTGCAATCCTGACTGAGTCTTTTGATCTCAGGCCCGCCTCAAGATGGACCGCCACACGACGGCCGGCGAGCGTCGCGCGCGCATCGAGACCATCATGTTCGACCTGGGGCTCAAGAAGTCCGAGCACACCAGGATTGGAGTTCCCGGCCAAAAGAAAAGCCTTTCTGGCGGCGAGCGGAAGCGGCTGGCGTTTGCTGCCGAGGTGGATTTCCTATCGTGATTACGTGCATAAGGAGAAAGCCAGCGCTCCCCAAGCAGCTGATGTTCTGTCCGCATCCTGAGTACTTGAAGTTACAATGCGTTCGTGTTCAATGCGCAGCACGCATGCAGACATGATGTTTACGAACGTCATCACTTAAGCCTTGTGATAAGCGATAGTTTACATTAGCCCGGTTGAATTAGCGCCGTGTTGGAATTATTCTCACTCCGTCTCCGGGCCGCTGCCAGATTCTGACGGATCCGCCGCTGCTGTTCTGTGACGAGCCCACCACCGGGCTCGACTCGTACAACGCCGAGAGGATCGTCTCCATGCTGAAGGAGATGGCGTTCCGGGGCAAGACGATTCTCTGCACCATCCACCAGCCCAGCTCCAACCTGTTCTCCATGTTCGACCAGCTCATGTTCCTCTGCGAGGGCAGACTGGCGTACATGGGGTCCGCCTCAAGCGCAGCCAAGTTTTTCGCCAGGTGAGCGCTTCGGCATCATACCTCCGCGGCCATGTCGGTCATAGTTCAACTGAATACCGTGGCCACATAAACGGCACGACACTGAGGTGTAGTCTCCCGTTCAGTTCGGGCTCCGCCCCCCACCCCCTCCCTCCCCTTCTCAACATTGGGAAGGAATCGGGCCAAATCCCGGCAGAAACCTCTTTTTGGGCGTATGGGGCCTTGGGCTGCATAATATGTTCATTGCCACCCCTCCCCCTTAACTCATTTTGTGAACCTACGCCCCTGACACGAGGCTGCATAATATGTTCATTGCCT